TTGCGTTTGGGTTTCGATTTCATTTTTTTTTAAATAACATTATATTTTTAGGGTTTTATAANGGTATCATATTTTCCATGAAAAAGAATCGCCAGCCAGGAATCAGGGACAGAGAATGGCCTTCGGCCAGAACCACCTTTCGAGCCCTTCAAGCCTTCAGAACTTCAAGAGGGTGACATTTTTTAGGATGTTCTCACCACCAGATTTTGAGAATAGGGGGTGAAATAATGTGGCAATTGTGTAAGGACAAAGCCATTCTCAAAGCAAGAAACGAAAATAGATTGGAATATTATAGAGTTTTATTTTACTCAAGTTGAGGAACTAAGAGCAACAGAGAGGGAAGGGAGGAAGAGGGGATTGAAATTTAGGTTGTTTGATACCACTAAAGTAATGGTGTTTAGGCCAGATGGTCACTGCCCATATGAAAATATAATCATGACCGTAGCTGATTGTGTCCACTTGTGCTTGCCAAGCCCCATTGATAAAAGGAATGAGTTTTTGCTTCATAAATGGAATGAAGCCCATAAGAAATTTTTGTTAGATATTGGATAACCGTATTGATATCTTTCTCACCCACCAAAAATAAACCTAGACGGATCAAAAATTAAAGAGGCAAAAACATGTTCGTATGTGTGTGTGGGTGTGTGAAGAAATTGATGTTTGTGATAGCTGCTATATTGATTTTTCAGCCGTTATATAACGAAATGACTGGTAACAGAAAACACAGACAATATGTAGACAACACATTCGTTTGATATTTTGGGTGTTTTGTATTGATTTGATATTTTTGGGTATTTTGTAACTTTTCTATAAATTTTCTCATATTGGGTGTTGATTTGGGTGTTTTCTCATAATGGTTTGATAAGCTTTGTAAGAAATTAAATGATAGAATTGTAGGATTTTTATTTGGGATTTTTCATAGTTAGGGTTTTGTAGTTGTTAAAGGTATTTGATTTAATGTTGTTAAGTTTATTTTGATTACGATTGTGCTTTAATTTCATTTTTTCAATTTTTTATGAAATTGGATGTTAAGGTTTGTGATATTGACTTCATTATTTTCAAATTTGATGCTAATTTTATGACATAGAGTTTTGATGATTAATTTTTGTGGAATTAAAATTTAGGTTTGCAATTGACCGTTGGAGCTTTAAAATTGAATGTTAGGGTTATTTTAATTGGAATGGGTGTTATTTTGATTGAAATATTAGTGTTTATTATTTTAATGAAATACTATATTTAGTGTTTTGATTGAGATTTAATGTCAATTTCATAAAATAGGGTTTGTTGGCTTTTTAGATGTTAGGGTTTTTGTTAGTCGAATGAGTTAGGATGTTGCGTTGATGATTATTGTCCGTTAATTGTATGAAATAGTTTTTTTGTAAGATGGGGATTTTATTGAATGTTATAGTTGTTAGTCACATTTTGATTGAATGTTATAGTTATTGGTGGTATTTGAGTGAATGTTATGGTTTTGAAATTCAATGTTATGTTATTTTGATTGCGTTTGGGTTTCGATTTCATTTTTTTTTAAATAACATTATATTTTTAGGGTTTTATAATTGAATGTTAGGATTATTTTGCTGGAATTGGTGTTAATTGTACATTGTTTATGAAATTGACTGCATAGCCACCATCATTGAAACTGAAAGACCATCGAAAAATGGATGATGTTACTATTTTTTTCAGTGTAAGTTCATCATTTCCTTAATTCTCTCTAAACATCTCTTATTTGTGTTTTTGAGATTACTTCTGAATTTAAATGGTCAATATTTGATTTCGTTCTCTTTTATTCTTTGGTTAGTGTCTAAATTTGAAATTCTTTGTTCACATTGTGAGTTGATGTTGAACTGTTTTAATGTCGAGGAAAAAATATTTTTTGTGCATATATATTTTGATGTTGAATGAGTTCTTCAATTTTTGAAATATTTAACTCTAATTTTTGCTCCTTAGTTCTAAACAATTTGATATTTGTTTAATTTGTAGGCTCATGTACTTTGTTAATGCTCTCTTCTTCAAAGAGTGCATACAATTTCTTATACAATGCTATTCTTTTTGTGTTTACTTTTCTAGACGTGATGAATAGTGATAATTTCATAACAATAATTGCAATGAAAGTTGTATTGATGAAAATAATTTGGATAAAAGGCATATGCTTCATCGTTGATGTGGAGGAGAGTAAAATTAATATATTTGGAAGCAGGTTGATGAAAGTTTTGTTGTATTATGGTGGATTTTTTTTTTGGGAAAGTTATTGTGAGTGCATCTTCACTTTTGATAACTTACAGACAATACTTTATATGTACAAATTTTTTTTCCCATCCTTTTATATTAACATCTTTTCATTTTTTTTCCAATATGGTCCCTTGATTTGATCAAAAAAATAATGGTTCCTTGATATTTTACCTTCAAGATAAAAGATTACTAATTTTTTTAATGGCTTTTTCCATTTCATGTTTCCTTTTGTGAGTAAAATTCTTATTTGCTAGCTCACGCACCTATGTAGGTTTGTTTGCGTGGACTAATGAATGAGTCTTATATAGAAGCTATAACAACTCAAATGGAGACTTTGGGGATTATGAATCCCAGAATTAAATGTAGGTATATTTTCATGTTAGTGTATATAGAAGTTAAATGACCCGTATCACGATTATTTTATTTTTAGTTCTTTGAATCCTTTTTATTGGTTTCTACTACACATGGAATATTGTTGTATTTGGGTTCTATCACTGCTAACTTTTAGTCTATTTTGAGGTGGTAATGAATGGTCCAAAAGTTACATAGGTGCATGGGTTTTGATTTTATTTGATGTGAGCTTTCTAATTCAATCACACAACTCTGTTTTTAATTTTATGTAGGTTGGTTTAGCATGGGTTTTTGTTCTATTATTTGTTTAGGTTCATTTTGTGATTAGTTTAGATTCGAGTTGATGTGAGCTTTCTAAGTAGGTTTGATTTCATGAAAATTTAGGTTTAGTTTTCAAATAAGGTTGGATTACTTTGTGTTTGATTTTGTTATGGTTTGATTTGAGTTGAATTTTAGGTTTGATTACTTTATTGGAATCTTGAATTGGGGATTGTGAGTTCTTATTTGATGTTACATTGCTTGGTTTCCTTGAAACTTGCAATTGAATTTGAGGTTTATATCAACT